TTCCCGAACGTTCGGAGAAATAGTCACTTCGAAACTAAAATCCTTCATGTTAAAAAAAAGGGAGTGTATACAGACCCGGTTACCGGGAACAAAGTCACAAAGTATACAGACCCAGTAGGGGAACTCTTTTGTGATTTCGGAAAGTTTCAGCGCCCTCTTGGCTCAGGGTAGACCTAGGTTCGTCTAGATCTATGGCCTAGGTTAGATCTAGAGAAAGAAACATTATATAAATCATTGATCTAGTTTCGAGACTAGCCTAGATCTAGATATCTAGATCTAAATGAAGATTGCGGATGTCTTTTCGATGAACGATCGTTTTTTCTCTGTTTTGGAGTTGGAGGAATCACAATTTTACTTTGAAGAAAAGAACAATGTCATAATTTCAATCGAGCAGTCACCCTCTCTATTTCTCTGCCCCTCTCTCTCTCTCTCCTCTGTGTATCGCTCGCCTTCTCTTTTTCTTTGTTTGTCTCTGTCTTTCTTTCTCCCCACCTATTTCCCACTCTGTCTCTATCTTTCTCTCGTTCCCTCGGCATGTCATACATTTCTATCTTCTCTCTCTCTCTCCCTCTCTCTCTCACACACACACACTACCAGGTCTGGAATCTGAAACCGAAACTTTCCGAAATCACCAAAGAGTTCCCCTACCGGCTCTGTATACTTCGTGACTTTGTTCCCGGTTACCGGGTCTGTATACACTTCATTAAAAAAAACGAAGTGACTATTTCTCCGAACGTTTGGAGAAATAGTGCCGATCTTTATTTCTCCGAACGGTTTCCGGCTTCCGGTCTCGTGATTTTTTGCCTATTTATTGCAAGAGTTCGGCGCCAACTTTCATTCTGCCTCTGGTCTGGGAACTGGGAAGGAACACCGCATGGCAAGCCCGCCTACAGACAACCTTCTGTAACACCCACCAAACACCCACCACCATCATGCACATGTACACACACAAACTTATACACACACTAACTAAACATGATCAGTGGGCAACTTTTGAACGTATGACGAGCTGAGCTGTGGATGGAGAGACTGTGTGAGTGACACTGACAGAGCAGGTGAAAGTAATACGGGTGCCCACTACAGACGGGATCGGCCGATCGAGGGCGATCGCCCGACTCGATCGCCTGAAACTGAATACAAACACGTTTGTTTTTGAGGCGATCGAGTCGGGCGATCGGGCTGATCGGCTGATCCCATTCGTAGTGGGCACCTCGTAGAAGAATGTACGAGTGTATCCACAGGCGACAGCAACTACTAGGGGACGACACCGACCCCCCTGGCCTGGTCCACAGCTCACGAACGAAAGGAATGCGGCTAAGGCACTGTTTTGCTAATATTATTGTCCATGGTTCGCAGGGTGGCAAGGGAATGAGTGAAATTTTCTTTGTGTGTGCCTGGAGGGAGCGGTGGGGTGTGGAAGTCATGCAGACGGAGATGAGACGCGAGAGAGAACATGGGAATTGAATGAATGAGTGAAACTGAAAGAGAGGAACGACTCATGAGCCCTGGAGTGAATGGATCATGTGTTTCTATTTTTGTATACTTTGAACTGTTACTGAATAAAGGCTGAAATAAAGCCCGAAAAACAAACACACACGCGCTCCTCACTCTCCACTTACACACTTACTACCACACACAGACACACTCACACATGCATACACACACACACACACACACATACACACACACACACACACACACACACACACACAGGAGCAAATTTTTAGGTCTAGATCTATATCTATTTCAATTTTCAAGAGCTAGTCTAGAGATTTTTAGATGAGTGTAAAAACGTGAAAAAAAAAGTTTCACAACCAAATGAAATCAAAATTAGAACAGCCCATAAACAACCACAAAAATTAACAAATAAGGGCGTGAGTCCACCTGTCCGAAGAAGATTGGATGTTTTAACTACTTAATAATGTGCGTAATTTTAAAACAAAGTACAGGATATTACATGTAAATTATGGAATAACACACATTAAGGGGCCTGCCAGTGCCAGTACATGTAATCGATTTTGGTGGAACGTACGCTCTAACATGTATATATTTAGAATCTAATGAAGGTAAGACCATCAAATTAAATGATGTTACACTATACAACATCCCCTCGGCCCCTCTTTTTTTCCCCAACAAAAAAAAAATTGATAGAAAAACAACACATCAGAACAATAAAAAGAAAGAAAAAAATACACACTAACAAAATAAAACACCACAAAGAGGAAAAAATAAAAGTAACTGCAACGTATTCAACAAATAAACGTGGTGACAACAAGTGAGAAAGAGACGAAGTGGAGCTTGGTGAACTTTCTTTCAAAAGTAAAGAGGTTCGGTTTCTTTCTTTTTAAAATTTTTTTTCTTTATTTGACTTTTTTTCCTCGATTCGGTGACCAAAAAATGCCCAAAAATCGAGCGACGATTGATTGGTCGTGACCGCGACAAACGCAGATGCTAGTTCTATGTGTCGTTATCAATATAACGTAGTGTATACAGACCCGGTAACCGGGAACAAAGTCACGAAGTACACAGACCCGGTAGGGGAACTCTTTTGTGATTTCGGGAAGTTTCAGCGCCCAGACCCGGTGGAAATCTAAAGAGTGTGTGCATGAGTGTGTGTGTGTGTGAGAGAGAGAGAGAGATAGACAGAGAGAGAGAGAGAGAGAGAGAGAGGTGCTAGCAAAATGTGACATGCCCCAGTTGGCAGGAGGGAACGAGAGAAAGATAGAGTGGGAAATAGGTGGGGACAAAGAAATAGAGTCAAACAAAGAAAAAGAGAAGGCGAGCGATACACACAGAGAGAGAGAGAGAGAGAGAGAACGAGAGAGAGAGAGAGAGAGGGGGGGGGGGGGCAGAGAAATAGAGAGGGTGACTGCTCGATTGAAATTATGACATTGTTCTTTACTTCAAATCGTGATTCCTCCAACTCCAAAACGGAGGAAAAACGATCGTTCATCGAAAAGACATCCGCAATCTTCATTTAGATTTAGATCTAGATCTAGGCTAGCCGCGAAACTAGATCAAAGATTTATGTCTGCCTAGATCTAGATCATAGATCTAGAAGAACATAGGTCTACCCTGAGCCAAGAGGGCGCTGAAACTCTTCGAAATCACAAAAGAGTTCCTCTACCGGGTCTGTATACTTTGTGACTTTGTTCCCGGTTACCGGGTCTGTATACACTCCCTATCAATAACCCTCCGTAGAAGATCTAGATCTAGATCTAGACAGCACACGAGTGAACACAACACATTAAGTTTAAGAGCAGCACCCTTCATAGGCATATCTCTAGCGAAAAACTGTTTGGAACTGTAGCATTTCTTTATATAAATATTTACTGCGGACATTTTTTGGACCGATTGGACCAAATTGTATACGAACAATCTTTGGTAGGCCTATACTATAACGAAGTGTATACAGACCCGGTAACCGGGAACAAAGTCACGAAGTATACAGACCCGGTAGAGGAACTCTTTTGTGATTTCGGGAAGTTTCAGCCCCCAGACCCGGTAGAAATCGTGTGTGTGTGTGAGAGAGAGAGAGAGAGAGAGAGAGAGAGAGAGAGAGAGAGGGAGAGGGAGAGGAAGAGAAAGAGAGGAGGGAGGGGTGCTAGCAAAATGTACATGACATGCCCCAGTTGGCAGGTGGGAACGAGAGAAAGATAGAGTGGGAAATAGGTGGGGACAAAGAAAGACAGAGACAAACAAAGAAAAAGAGAAGGCGAGCGATACACAGAGGAGAGAGAAAGAGAGAGAGAGAGAGAGAGAGAGAGAGAGAGAGAGAGAGAGAGAGAGAGAGAGAGAGAGAGAGAGAGAGAGAGAGAGAGAGAGAGAGAGAGAGAGAGAGAGAGAGAGAGAGAGAGAGAGAGAGAGAGAGAGAGGGGGGGGGGGGACTGCTCGATTGAAATTATGACATTGTAACTTGTTCTTTTCTTCAAATTGTGATTCCTCCAACTCCAAAACGGAGGAAAAACGATCGTTCATCGAAAAGACATCCGCACTCTTCATTTAGATCTAGGCTAGCCGCGAAACTAGATCAAAGATTTAAGTTTGTCTGCCTAGATCTAGATCTAGACCATAGATCTAGAAGAACCTAGGTCTACCCTGAGCCAAGAGGGCGCTCGAAACTCTCCGAAATCACAAAAGTCAAAAGAGTTCCCTTACCGGGTCTGTATACTTTGTGACTTTGTTCCCGGTTACCGGGTCTGTATACACTCCCATACTATAATTATAGATCTAGATCTAGATATAATATATAATATCAGAAATTTGCGGGAAAGGATGTGATTTCAGAGTGTTCGGAGAAATAGTGCCCAGCTTTATTTTCCCGAACGTTCGGAGAAATAGTGCCTAGCTTTATTTTCCCGAACGTTCGGAGAAATAGTGCCGGCCTAAAAAAAATCCCTCCACGTCCCCTTCACACCTTACACACACACTCACACACAGGCCACTCCATTCGCTTATTATCAACAAATCTCAAGAACGGAAACCGTTCGTAGAAATAAAGTTCCCTTATTTTCCCGAACGTGTGGAGAAATATAGCCGGCCTGCCTTCTAATTCTAATAATTAGGCCTTAGAGTAAAAAAGCCACCGTCACCGACAGTCATGAGGCTCAACAAGATGATGAGGCACTGTCACTCCACTTACTGAACTTACACTTCACTAGACAGATCTAGATCTAGATCTAGATCTATCTAAATTCTAGATCTAGATCTAGATCTAGATCTAGATTTAGATCTAGCTATTCTAGCTAGACATATAAATATAGAATCTAGATTTAGATCTAGATCTAGATCTAGAATCTAGTATCTAGAATCTAGATCTAATATATCTAGATTATAGATCTAGATCTAGATCTAGACCTAATCACAGTCAGTACAGACTACACTACACGAGGGAACTTCAATACAATAGTATAGTCTATAGTATAGAATCTAGTCTAGTATAGATCTAGATCTAGTGAATAAATGCAATAGAGATCTAGAATCTAGATCTAGATAAAAACCTCTATAGTCTTTATGGGCTCCGTAAGCTTTTGCTTGTCCAGTCTCATCATTTGTTCCAAACTTTCCATGGTGAAATCAGCAGCTGAAAGGCAAACCCCACACTAGCCTGTTTGCAATCACATGCAATTCTAATCCATTTTCGATTTCTTAGGCAGGCTTGCTTGCCTGCGTTGTTTGCTTTACTGTAAACCCAGATTTTTATAAGTCAACAGCAACTGAGCAAAGAGGTTATCTTTCACCCTTTAAACAAAAGAAAATATTTCATTATGCTATAAAAGAAACAATTTTTTAAAAGACCGGAAAAATTACCAAACTTCATTGAACTTAAAGCGAGATGGGGGGGGGGGGGGCAATCTCAACAAATAGACGACAGAGTCTGTATCCCACATGAAATAGAGGGCCTGTTTGCAGCTAAAAACGATCTTCGTTTGCAACCCAAACTGGAACAATGTCGGCTCAAGGATAGATAGGCCTACTTTCGATTTCACTCATCTGGTGTTACCTGTAACGGCGGTCTTCCTGGCAGTTTGCACTGGCCATAGACGTTTTATCAACGAGCAAAAACCGACCTGGCAAAAAACAAGACAGTTATAGGGCAGACATGAAATAGATCTAGATCTAATTCGATCTAGATCTAGATCTAGAGTAGATTTAGAATCTAGATCTAATATTATTGGAAATTTAAAAAAAAAGAAATTTACAATGCTGGATTTCTAGATCTAGATAGATCTAGATCTAGATCTTGATCCAGAATCTAGATCTAGATTTTAGAATCTGATCTATCTCATGTGGTCAAAGCTGGTTCAAATATATGACTTATTGTTCTATTCTGAGGTCCATTATACTACTTACAAAGATTGCAACAAAATGTAGTTTATTCTTTACAGTTATTTCACCTTTACGCCAGGGCATGTAGTACGCTCTCTCTCTCTCTCTCTCTCTCTCTCTCTCTCTCTCTCTCTCTCTCTCTCTCCCAGTTTCTCGTTTCTGTATAATCAATATATGGCCTCTATAATCATTAAACAAGCCTTCAGTCGAACCTGTGTTAAGACACTCTCATTTTAAAGCATAATGCCGACGCGGGGGATTTATTTGAATTTTGGTCGTGCTTTTTTTAAAGCCATTGCAACAGGTGATTGTTTTGAATAGGTGCCATGGTTAGCAGGGAACAAGGTACTGTTGCGTTGATAAGATCTGGGAAGGGGTTGGGTGGATTACGCTTGTTAAAATCTCTCTTCTTTTGCCCAGCAGGTCTATTTAAAATTACATGTATTGCAATAACCCCCCCCCCCCCCCCCCCCCCCAACACACACACACACACACACACACACACACACACACACACACACACACACACGTTGGGGGGGGGGGGGGTCACAGTGTAGTAGCAGAGGACAAGCTAAAGGCTAAAGGAAACAAAGCGAAATCCTCGGTAAGAACTATAAGAACTATAATAATTAGAACTCGGGTAGAAAAATAGGTCCTTGACCATCAATGATTCTTCTAGTGAGGTAATATTTATTTAACTGGTTCAAGGAAGATGCAGAAACATCTTTTTCCAAGGACAGCGACTCATAGGCCCCCCTACAGGTGACTTGTTAGGGGGGAAGCCTTGTGATTGGCTTGTGACAAGGTGCCTTCTAGGCTAGGCGCTCCAAATGAATTTATTGACCAATGAGGATGTTGAAATAGAGGCTAGACGCCGAGGCCGAGGGAGAAAAAAAGCCTTCGCGGAACTGTGAATGTGAAGTTGGGCTTTTCCAAGTACCAGGCACGGCGTGCGCTGCATGCGGATTTCGTATCAGAACGTATAGAGATCAACTCTCTGGTATAGATCCTCGAAGGCCCTAGCCTAGCGCTGAATGCAGGTCATTGTAAGCGTGTCATCGTTGCTTGGAAGTGAAAACAGAGTGTAGCCTAGGGTCTACAATGCTTTAAAAAAAAAAAGAAATACCTGTCGTAAAATCAACATCGCAGCACAACACTATTATAATAGTCTAGTTGGACATACGCTGATACGGACCAGCACAGCATGGCAGCAGCAGAAATTGATACGGATCCAAATTGAAAACGAAACCGGCCTGTGGCTCGACCCCATGCCCATGAATGAACCTCGAAGTGACATCTAATAATAATTTCCGTCGAAATTTACAGTTGTGCAAATCGTAGAGATAAGAATTAGTTCTTGTGTTTTTTAATTGGGTCACGACTGATCGTGGGTTTGTGAATGTGAGGGTTAGATCTACTTTCAGAACACCTCAAGGATTCGGAGAATACTGGATGTTCTCGAAATACGCAGACCGACTTCGCAAATTATTTCAGGTAAGGGGTATATTATTAGAATCTTTAGCCTAGAATCTTTTTCTTTTCATTTTTTAAAGGATAGGCTACAAACAACTCTAGATTCTAGTGGAGGGCGTTTGCTCGCTGCTGAGGTACAATGCAAAGATTCTACGCATTTATAAAGGCTGGTAGGGCACCTAGAAATCGTGTTTTGGGGTCAAATTTTGCAAATTGGGTTTATTACGAGTACATAGCCACTTTCTTATTTACATATAGATCTAGATCTAGTACCTGGACATTTCCTGAACAATATCCAGAAACGTCTTACCTGTATCGGCTGTTTTCTCACAATTCTATTTTTTCACCTATTATAATATATATCCCATTTTTCTGCTCTAGAATCTAGATATCTAGATTCTAGATCTAGATTATCTAGAATCTAACTTTTTTCCCCGTTCATTTGTAACTTTCACAGGATACCACCAACACCTAAAAATCTAGATCTAGCTATATATCTAGATCTAATCTAGATCTAGTTCAAAATTTTAGCTTGTTGAATTTTTTATTAATGGAGTTGTTTTTGATTTATGGGCTTAGAAAGCATGAGTTTTCCTTTTTTTCTCTCACTTTTTTGCAACATCCCAATTGTAAGTGTCATAAAATAAAAACTATAAAGCATAGATTCTCTATCAAAAATTCAACAAGCCAAATTTAAGAGCTACATATTAACTGTTGGCATGCCAAAATAGAAGTGAATCGGTTAATGGGCATAAAATGGGACTGAAAAAGGTTCAATATGGCCGATATGTTTCCTTAGCAACTGATTCACAATACTTTTTGAACCATTGCTTTCAAATCCCCAATAGATCTAACAACACGATGATGTCCCACAGCAAATATAGGCACTCTAGGCCTTGTAATAGCCAAAATAGACTTTAGGTGCCCCACCAGCTCACATTTTAAACTTTTTAAAGGAAATGATAAAACCACTACCAGATTTATAACTATTACGACTGCTGCTGCTGCTACTACTACTACTACTACTACTACTACTACTACTACTACTACTACTACTACTATCACCCTGTCATCACGTGTCTACTATGCTATGAAATTGCTACTGCCTCCGCTACACCATCAGTACTGCTATATGCAAAGCTACTATAATGTACATATTATGCCACTTCTACTTTTGGTGTGTGTTCTCGTATTTTTCCTCTTGAATTTTAATTCTCTTCCGTATTCTTCATGGCCTTGACGAATGTTCCTCTTTTTTGTGTTGCAAGTCTCTTGACATTCTGAGTCGTGTTCAAGTACAAGTACTACTGCATAACACTCATACTCATGGAAGTACATGCACATATGTCATGATATTATGTAGGCCTATTTTAATGTGTGTTTTTTTTGTTTTACAAAGTGTTTTACGCACTTGCAACACAATACGGTCATAATATAAGTGCCGAAGATTAGAGGTGTTACATGTACAAGAGAGTAACAAACACAAAAAGGAAGGAGGAGAGATCAGGACTATAAATGGTTGATAGGAAAGAAGTAGCAAACCACACCACAGCACCCGCCAACCACGCACATTTATGCATATGCAAGTGTCGCTACATAAAATATATTACTAACATAGTGATCAGATAAACTGTTGAGATATAGTTCATATAGGCCTATGTTTGCTACAGAAAGACGAAAGAAGTTTAAAGCAGCGAGCTCAATATATAGGTCTAGACCCACAAGAAAGAACACTACACACTTGAAGCACATTATATAAGTGCTTTCGAAAATAAAGATTGAGATTGTTATAACAGACACAACAGATGATGGGAAACAAGTAGAACTATGACGAGTTGAGACTCGAGCCAGCCATACACGTATTGCATACAAGGAACTAACTTGAAGTGAGGCTATAGAAAAAAACCCCCAACACACACACACACACACACGACACATACACACACACACACACACACACACACACACACACACACACACACACACACA